TCCCCCTCACCTGAGTATCTGACCCAATACGGAATCGGCCCACCAGACTCATCTGCCTGGAAGCTCACATGTGCAAACAGCATTCAGCAGGTGGGGGCGGCTCCTTCACATCCCCTGAAGTGTTTTCTGTCTCCAGAAGATCTAGTCATCTGTTAAAGTAGAAATTAGAGACGACTGTAAATGGGCAGAATGAGATGTTTTATTTTGATTGCAAGGCAAGAGCTTTAAACCCACTCAGCGTTTATCTGACATTTTGAAAGGGAGGGAAGATAATTCATATCTTCAGTGATAAGTGGTCTAGCGTGGTTCTGTACCAAGGGAGCGGTTTCGAAGGCGGTTCTGGTCCTTTGCATGTCTCTGCCACCGTGTCACTGTTTGCCAAAGCTGTGGCTGTGAATTATCTCTGATTATGGGCAGTGCACTGTGGGCATTTGCAGGTGGACACCCCCACGGCCCCTCCCCAGCCTGGCTTTCTGCCACACACCCTTTCTGAACTGTGCCCTGGTGTGTAAACACAGCTGTGTGAATTTTTCCTTTGCTTCTGTATTGTGCAATTGCCCAATTCCCCCCCCCCCCCGCCCATCTCCCACAGGGACATAAATCATAGGCTCTAGGCTTAGCAGTGCTGTTTCCTTCATGGATCAGACCATGTGTGTGAAGGTGGGGGGGGGGATGTAAACTAAAATCTATCGACAAAGCTGTGGTTGACTAGCAAAGGGAGGGGCTTCTGGTGTGTCTGGACCCCTCAGGTGCCATTATCCTTTCCGAGTGGAACCGGAGCAGGGGCGATTCTGAGATTTTTTTAAGATGGGGGGGGGGGGGTGTAGCAGGGGCCATCATTCATACAGAGAAACCAATTTTATCATTAGCCAGTTATATGTTTCACATTGGTGACAGGGGAGGGGTCACTCAAGGGTCAGTCTGAGCCAGTGCCTCTGTGATCCCGCCCCTGAGCCCAGAGTATCTCCTCTTGGCCCATTTCCCTTGCGTTAGTGGGACAATTCTGAGAGCACCTGGGTTCCTCGGCCCACCGGATAATGTTTTGTCTTCCCCGTTAGCTTTTAGCACGCATGATGAGTTCTTGGGCAGCGTTAGCACGTTAGCTTATCGAGGCGTTAGCCGCTCACAGCGAGGCCTACCGTACCTGTTTAGCAGCACCCTGGTTTCTTTTCTTGAGGCAAAACTTAGAGCATCTGGTTATAGCTTGTTATCAGCAGGATTGAAGCAATCAGCAAACAAAGCAGAAAGCCAGAAAAAAAAACCAGATAGAAGATTGAGAACGTGAGCACATTCAGCTGAGTGAATGCGTCGGGCCCAAGCGCTAAGCAGTAATTATACGCTCTCGTCATTTATTACAGGAAACGAGGCTGCAATAGGTCTCTTCTGACAGGTCCGACCGTGACTGAGGCAGAAGAACTGGGAGACGGCGTGCATCGGTTTGGAGGAAACACTGGATGGGGTTCTTGGGGAATTGTCCGGGGAATCAGGGTCCACAGGGGCCAGGTGGCTCTTGCCGAGGGCTTGCTTTCGGCTGGAACTTGATGGGTTGGCTAGGTGTTCATCCTGTGGTCAGCTCCACTCCTCCGTTCCGGCCCCAGGTTTTGGAAAACGCCACTGCGCAGTACACAGTGATGGGCAGGGAATGCTGGGATGGCCCACATGGGGAATCGCCCGGCGTTGGGTATAGTGGGCCAGATGTGCAGGTATCCCCCCCCCCGCCATCTGACCCTAGACCGTGATGTAACAGCTCCATGTTACCTTTTTAAAAGTTAGTTTTCCAAAATAGAAACTCTGATTTTTGCTACTGGAGATCCTACATTTGCCTTGAAGTGATTTGTAAGGGTCTGACAGGTAATAGCGGAAAAACATTTCAAGCACTCGCTGTTGACAGGTGTATGACACAGGGAATGACACAGGATGGACAGAACTGGGGTTTGTTCATGGTTGTTTATAAACCCAGTCCATACAAATCCATATCGTGTCCTATTCACAAGGCTGGTGAGCGATAGAATAGAGCTAAATTGGAAAAGAACAAAGTATCACTTTTGATGGAAAGTTCTGGAAATTCAGCACTTTTTTTCTCAACTTGTTCTCTGTCAATTTCATTTGCCTGGACGCAATCAAAGTTCACATGGCCGGTGATCAGCTCAGCTGGTGCCAGAAAATTTCTGATCCATCAATGGCCACAGTAAACCAAGAAATCCGCATGGAATGACGGAGTGTAGCAGCGTGACTCTTACATACTGTGCTATCTGCAGGACAGGTGCAGTACTTTATACAATAAGAGCAGTCTGGAGGACATCTGGCTAACGGGCCAGCTGGTGACAGCCCTGATCTCTCTTCTTGGGAACAGGTGGCCCCTTGGTCACTGCGTTCCGCCGTGGGGCAGGCGAGGGCCCAGCTGATAGTCCCAGTCCTGGATGACAGACAGCCCTGTGCCGGCCTCTCTCTGATTAACTCTGCCGCCCAGGTGCTCAGTCCTCACTGGCGCCCTCTGCTGCTCACAGATGATAAGTCAGGGGTTCACGCAGCGACCCCAGGGAGAGAGACCGGGACAGAGCACAGCTAATGAAAGTACAGGAACAGAGACCCTGAGCCGACATGCTGTCCTGATCCTGATTTTATGAATTATTTTGACATTTCTTTCTATTTAAGACCATTTTATACACTCATTTTGGGGGGGGGGGGGTGCAGTGAAGGCAGTACTGATGGATCTTCAGGCTGAGGAACTGAGCTTCATAGGATAGCTGCTCTGATCCGATGGTTTGACTGGAACCTGTCACAGTTGAGCTGACGGAGAACCTCAATGTCCTTCTAGTTTTACAGTCTGAGGCACCTACCTCTATATTTTGGGGGGAGGGGGCTGTCAACAGGTGTAGGACTGTGGGTCTGTGTGTTCAGCTGTGCAAAGAAGACATGGTGGGTTGGTGGGCTACATAAGATGGGGGGGGGGGGTTATTTTGTTATTCCCATGGATGTTAAACAGGGTCTGAGTCCCTGGGAAAAAAAATAATTTCTGCCAGGTGTTTCGTAGAGAGCAGACTCCATAGTTAAGGCACGATTTAGCTCATAGTCTGACTGTTCCTTGTCTCGCAGACACTAAGAATGTCCCACCCAGGACTGGGGCTCTGAACCTCACTCCTAGGCATGACATCTATGGGGGGGGGGGGCAGATGGAACATAAAAAATCCTGCGGCAGCTGGGAGGAGGAGGAGTGTTCAGGAGGAGGCGGAGTGCTTAGGAAGAAGCAAAGCATGTTAAAGAGCCACTGACCTTGATCTCCAAACAAGGCAGGGGGTTCGTTTTGTGTTACAGGAGCCCAGCTTGAGACGGGGGTCTCAGAATGGTGTCCAGCTTGCAGCTGAGTCTGATGGCCTGACCATCCCTCCCGTCTGTGAAGGGATATCCTTAAGGGACTCGCCGATGTTAACTAACCAGCGCCTCATTTTTTACTAGCAGCAAATGTGCCGCACTATGAATCTACCGCATTCCTCCCCCCCCCCCCCACAAGGTCACGGTGTTATTTCAGCAGCGCTCTTTCGTGACCCGTTTCGTTGTGATGCTAAATGTTTCGCTCAGAAGTGGGGCTTTAATATTTACATGTGCACACAGCACTCCACTTTGAAAGCAGAGTTTTCAAGCATTTCACACCCAAAGGAAGGATTTTAACCGGCGATGATGTGAAGCTTCTCTTTTCTCACTGCATCGCTTGCTTGCCGTCCAAGGTCTGAGTCCTCCTGGGTGTCGGCATCAGTGACGTGAGGTGCTGAGCATCCTCTCTTAACATCAGCCCTTTAATGAAGCATCTTACGTTTACGCTGTTGACATTAAAAGATAGGCTCCCTCCTGACTCCTCCGGCAAATCCTTCTGGCTCCCGGTGAGCCGCCCGCTGTGTGGTCGCAGAACGGATTACGTGGGATTGTTTGTGTGGCACGGAACAGAAAACATACATCAGCGGGAAGGAATAAACAAAACGGGCCTATCAAAGCCTGTATGCTGGGAGTCAAGTTAATGAAAGAGTAACTGGTCAAAAGCTATTGAATATACTCTGCCTTGTTATTTTCGTTATTCAGAGGAGCTCGCGCCTGAGATCAGGACAGTTGTGGGGGTGTCAGGGGCTCCTGGCCCAGTTTGTCAGCCTGGCCCAGCCACTCTGGGCGGCTCCTACCCTGCAGCTCTGCAAATCTGGACGGTGGCCACAGGCTCGAACTGCTCCTCTAACTTCTCTGTTGCTCCTGCAGGGTTTTCTCAGCGCCCCTCCCTCGCCTTCTTCCCGTGTGTGTGTGCGGGGGAGGCGGTGAGGAGCGAGGGGGGGGGGGGAGGTAGCAGGAGAGCGGGCAGAAGGTCAAAGGACAAAGCTTGGAATCCGTAATGAGGCCCGGGAAGCAGAGGGTTGCGCGGAGCGAACACTTGATGACTGTTTGTCAGAAGGATTGTCATTATAGCCGAGCCCTCGGTGTGGGGGAAGACGGAGCAGGGGGGGGTAGGGAGGTAATGGGGCCTCTTCGTCAGTGCAGAAGCGAGGATCGCTGACTCATTTCAGGCTGCTGTGTACAGGGATCTAGAGCACGTGTATGTTAGCCCCTGGCCCAGTAGAGTTCCTCCAGCTTGGTTATGCTGGCATTATTTCAGCTCTCTCACCCCCGTCCACCCCCTCTCACCTACTGGCAGATGGTACGCTCCGTTTAAAACGGTTGGATCGTCATCTCTCAATGCACTGTGTCCTTCCAGAAGCAGCTGCCGTGAGCGGATTCTTGCAGTGGGAGGATTCTCCTTCTTGTTACGCTACTACAGCCCCGCACACACGCGCGCGCGCACACACACACACAGCATGCTGCATCGCGCAGCAGGGTGAAACCAAGGAGGAAGCCAAACACCCCCAGGATTTTAGCCGTGCGCAGGGGGGAGGAATTAAGAACTGCAGGAGTACGGGAGAAATTAGGAGAGTTGAGAGTTGCTTGTCTGATACCATGGCACTCGCTGTGGATTCTGTCCTCAGGGAAAGATCCTCAAAATGATGGATGACAACAAGCAGCTGGCCCAGCGCATCGACGGGGCCATCCAGTCGGCCAGCCAGGAGGTGACTGAGCTGCGCTGCGAGCTGAGCGCCCCCCCTCGCCGGCTGGCCGAGCTGGGGTCCACCGACACCCCCGGCATGGACAGCAGTCAGCAGCATCGCCACGGTAATGCGGCATGCCACCCGGCAACTGGGACCGGGGGGGGGGGGGGGGGGGGGGGGGGGGGGGGGGGGGGGGGGGGGGGGGGCGGGGGCTTGTGGGAGCAGTCGGGGTGTGAGGGTGGGTGTGTGCCCTTTTGCAGGGGGGTCCTCGCTGGGATGGTGGCTGGGTTTAATTAGTCTCTTGGAACTTTTGAGCAGCGTAGAGAGGGACCTGAACTTTTAGCAGGAGTCAGGTTGTGGCCCAAGCTGGGCAGTACTGAGCCCGGTAGCCTGAGCCCGGTAGCCTGAACCTGGCGGCACCAGGAGGGAAAGCGGACGGGTATAAGTTCAGAAGCAGCACGTGCTTGGAGTGTGGGATCGCATCCTCATTCTTAGCGCCCTGTGCGGGGCTGAACCCAGCCAGCCAGCCAAACCTCGGTGGGGTCACAGCCCCAGAGCCGCGGCTGGGGGCGTCATGTGGTATTGGCCTTGAAGCCCCGCCCCTCCCGGTGCACTTCAGCTGCTGCCACTCTGTATCGATGATGTCACAGTTCCCGATGGCGGATTGCACGCAGATGTCCTTGCTGCTGGCACACGGCGACGCAGTCAGGTGACAGTCAGCGCAGAGTGAGGGTGACGGCTGCCTGACAGCGAGGATGCAGCCCCGTCACCGAGGCTCGCTGACACGTGTTTTTGGATCGCTGCTCCCTCCGGTTAGCAGGGAGGAAGTTCCCCTGGCAGCCCTGGCCTTTGTCCATGTGTCTCCCTTGTGTCTGGCGGCATTTTTACCCCATTTTACTGCCCCCCTCCCCCTCCCTCCCCGGGTCGGTGTGAACTTCTGATGGCTGAGCACATGGGCGATGCACTGCAGTCTCTGCTGCTGTGAGGCGAGGTCATGCTGCATGATTCAGGGGCTGCTCTTCTCACAGCGCTGCTGTCCCGCCGATGGCCACCTGCCCCCCCCCCCAAACTTTCCGAGTTTGATACAGACTCAGCAGGACAGGCTGCACGCTGTGGGACACATCGTATCCTCTAGGTGGAGCTGTTTTAGGGACTTGCCCCCTTTCTCCCAGGGAAAGTCCAAGTTGCCATTGGTTACCTGGCTGCTCTCCCCCCGCCTTCTTCATTATGGGTTTTTTATGCAGGGGGCAGCTAGTGGAAGTCAGAGCTCTGTGGCCAGCGGGGAGGGGGGGATTTGGTTCCTCTCCTCCAGAAGATGAACTCGGCCTCTGAGAGGTTTAAAACTGTGTGTCTGTCTGTGGACTCTGAGTTTCACATTTCGCTAAGGACCTAAACACATGCACAGTCATCGCTCAGCCGAAACTCACGGCCCGGCAGGGTCAGCATGAACACAACATGGCCATGTGGACCCAGGACAATTCCCTGATGCTGGACGGCACAGCTGGGTGATGTTTTTTTTTAGACGGCTGTCCGTATGCTGAAACACCTCCATACTTCATTCTCAACGTAAGACCTTGTGACACACATCTTCCTCTCAGATTATCTGCAGTGTCAGATTTTCAACTCTGCCATGTGTGTGTGATTGTGTACGTATGGCTGTCCAGGAGCCCAGCTGTGGACAGATTGATGGGGGTGGGGGGTGACAGAGGGGCTGCCTGTCTGTTTTGCTGCTGCCCCAGTTTCCGCAGCTGCGGGTGCCCAACCCCACTCTGTCTGCACTGCATTATCATCTGCGCTGCATTATCGCATTATCGTCTGCGCTGCATTATCACATTATCGTCTGCGCTGCATTATCACATTATCGCCTGCGCTGCATTATCGCCTGTTACTTGCTCCGCTGCTGTGATCCGCTGGCTGCCTTTAACACGATAACCGTCATTATGGACTTGGGCCGTGGCGCCGGTGCCCTGCCGTCTGAACACACGGGAACGGTAGCTTTGCGCCCACAAAGGGCTGCACAAAGATTCAATTAGCGGGGGCATGTTGCATTATTTATGGATTTGGAACCAAGCCTCCTCTGGTTAATGAGCAAACACATGGCAGACGCTGAATGCCGAGGGGTTCGACACACACCCTCCTCCGCCCGTGCTGTCATTTGCCGTATTAATGCTCCGCCAGGTGCCTGCTAGGGGTCATGTGACCATCACCACTGTCACAGTAGTCTTGTTTTTGCCTTATTGCTCATCATTCTTTTTTTTTTCTTTTTGAAGAAACATTTTTTGAGTACTTAAGTGTCACCTTGGACTACAGCTCTGCTATGGTGTCTGTGTGTTTCTTCTAATATACTTTTTGTTGATGTATTATCTTCTGGCTTCAGTGCTTTTCTGCTGACTGTACTGCAGTTTCAGTGGCTCTGTGCTGTGCTGTCATGCAGTTTCAGTGGCTTTGAATTGCACTGTCCAGTAGCTTCAATTGATCTGTGCTGCACTGTGCTGTATTTTCAGTTGTTCTTTGCTGCACTATCCTGCAGTTTGAGTCTCTGTGCTGCACTGTCCTGTTCTTTGTTACTTTCTGCTGTACTGTCCTGGAGTTTCAGTGGCTCTGTTCTACACTGTTCTGTAGTTCCAGTTGTTCTTTGTTGCATTGTCATGTAGTTTCTGTGGCTCTGTAATACACTGTGTTGTAGTTTCAATTGCTCTGTAGTGCACAGTCCTGTAGTTTCAGTTCTACTTCTGCTGCATTGTTCTGTAGTTTCAGTGGCTCTCTACTACACTGTCTTGTAGTTTCAGTTTTTCTGTGCTGCACTGTCCTACAATTTTAGGATCTCTGCACTGCACGGTCCTGTACTTTCAGTGGCTCTGCATTATACTATGTTGTAGGTTCTGTTCTGCCCTGTCATTTCAGTGGCTCTGTGCTACATTGTCTTGTAGTTTCAGTGGCTCTGCACTGCACTGTTTTGTAGATTGTTACTCTGTGCTGGACTGTTCTGTAATTTCAGTTGTTCTTTGGTGCACAGTCCTGTAGTTTCAGTGAATGTCCTGTATGGATCAGCCTCTCTCAGCCTGCTGGAGAAGGTGGATGGGTAATAGGTTCTATGGAGCCTACAGACAATTGGCTGGATTTCTGAATCAAGAGGCTCTGAATGTTGCCTGCTGCCCCATAGCCTGGTTCCAGAGGCCCCTGCTCAGTATAACCTCGGTGCACACGAATAACCCTGCGGGTCCAATAGAGAAGGCAGGATACCCCAGCCCTCCACCTCAGCAGTGGGGGTCCCTGGGTGGCCCATGTAAGCACAAGCCTTGAGCGCAAACGCAGCACCTGATCTGTGCTGTTTCCGTTCGCCGGTTTGGGCCCTCTGGGTCGACACAGCAGCGGGTGGCCGCACTGCCAAACTGAAAAGGCGATGGCTTTAACGACTGCTCTTTGAAGCAGAAAGGAGCCGCCCCTACGATTAAAACACCCCTGGCAAGCTGCAAATGCAACACTTTACGTGCTCTCAGCATTGATTAAGTGCCATGTGTACGATGAAAATCAATTACGCAAGCTTTCTCGGCGTCGCCGTTAGCAGCGCAGTCCGTGTTGGTCCAGCACACGGAACGGCCGTGCACCTGCCATACTGGGACTGAGCAAAGACCGACGAATCTGTGCTGAGCAGATTATTGGAGATCGAATCAGCTTCAGACACAGTGGATGGAGAGCCAATGAGGATTGAGAAGGTTAGGGGGAGAGTGAATCAGATTAGACGCATTCAGTAACAGGATTGGATATGTTGGGGGGAGAGCGAATAAACATGCTGCTGGTTAGAGCGAAGCCAATCGTCAGTTAGCTTGGTTGAGGAAGGGTGCATTAGTGGCAAACATGTCTATAGGAGACGGATAGTTATTCGCAATTCATTGGTGCAGTAGGATGCTCCAGATGTTTTCGGTGCTCTTCAGCCAGAGTCGTTTCCTGTTTACGAAAAGGACGCTGGTCCATAAATGATCTGAGCTCGCCCGTTTAGGCGATGAGTGTCCTTGAGGTGAAGGGGGAGGAGAAGCATCTCCAGGCTGAAGAGGAGTGAAGCTCGCATCGAGTCAACATGCAGCCGCCCTCTGTGGACATGGAAGTCAAGGACAGGCTGCAGAGAAGATGTGTCAAGCACACTCAGAAACACACATGTGCAGTATTTTCTATGTCATTGTTCCTCTTCTATCCATTATCCCACTAAAACGGATGACATACTATGGTTTTACAAAAATCTGCTGAACTTTCTGCTAAAATGAACAATTCTGCTAAAGAGCTGTTCATTAGCAGAGGGTTTGGAGCCCTGGAAGGCTGGTGGAGCCATGCTGCCTTATGACTTATGCAAAGGATGCTCCTCTCTGCAGTGCCAGACTGCATTTGATTCCCAGTGAGTGACAACAGGAACCGAGTGGTCCTGGGGTCCTAATCCGAGGGGGTCGGCAGGTTCCCCCTCGCTTCCACAGCGTGGGGCCGTTAGGCGTAACGTGGGGGGAGAATGACGAAGTGAGAGCCGCCTCCTAGGGAACCTGTTTGTCAGGGAGCACCAGCGTGACATGACATGCCAGCCTCACAAAGGTCACTCGCTCACACAATAATGTCTCCAATTTTCCTCTTTTTGGTGAATGACAGTGATTAACGGTAATTATTTCCTTTACAGAGGCCATAAAGATCAGTTTGTGATCAGCCTTTCAGCTGGATGACTAATTCTGCTGCCTGATATAGAATAGTTATGCTCAAAAACCAAAAATATAGCCGCCTTATATTCATATGGAGGAGGTGTTGCATTAGCTACAGCCGCTTTATATTCATATGCAGGAGGTGTTACATTAGCTGCAGACATCTTATAGTCATATGGAGGAGGTGTTACATTAGCTCAAGCGCCTCATATTCATATGGAGGAGGTGTTACATTAGCTTCAGGCACCTTATATTCATATGGAGGAGGTGTTACATTAGCTTCAGGCACCTTATATTCATATGGAGGAGGTGTTACATTAGCTACAGCCGCCTTATATTCATATGGAGGAGGTGTTACATTAGCTTCAGGCACCTTATATTCATATGGAGGAGGTGTTACATTAGCTACAGCCGCCTTATATTCATATGGAGGAGGTGTTACATT